CACTTGAACAAAAGGAAGAAGTGTCGATTACATCAATAAGATATCCAACAGCTTGAATTATTCATTTGAAGTGGTTTTGATCAATTTTTTTCAACCATTTTTCTTTGTGTTTAGGGCATTTTTAAAGCATTTTAATAAAATTGATCATTTTTGGCTATATTTTAGGTCATCAAAATCCACCTCCTAATAATCACACACTTTTTTGTTAATCTCACTAAATATTTTTGCACTTTATCACCAACCATTGCAGTCAATGAGACAACGCAGTTTCGCATCCATAATTATACTAGCTGAAATTCTTCTCCAAATTCTCCTAACTAATTATTGACTTCCAGTAAAAAGTGGTGTAAAAGCACTTCTTGGTTTACAATACATTTTAGAAGTATGTACCATTTAATGTCCAGGTTCTGAAAACTCCAATGCACCCTTCTAGGTCTTAAGCTATATTTGTACTCATACACTTGAGTTTAGGAAGTATGTTAACCCCTATACTACTTGGATTGTCTACACTAGTCTCCAAAAGTTACCAATATCACCTCCAACATTTTTTCACTCAAACATTGTACTGATAAGCTGTATTTTACTACTGCAGTAGTAAAGCACCATTTATTTATATGTCCTCAAAGGTACACATTAGTACCTGAAGACTGGAATCAATTGTAAATTTTTATTCAAGCAAATGTCTGACAATTCTGACTCTATTAAGGTTTCTGATTTTTTCAAATTTAATTCTAGTTTTTTAATTTATAAAGAAAAAATTAGCACAAATATGAAAGAACAGAAAATTTTAACACCATCATTGACATTGTTTAAAGGGTTAAAAATGTAATAGGTATAGACCTCTATTAATGGATTAGAATTTCAATATTTAGCTTATTACATATTGTCACTTTTCTGGAATACTGTTTTAAACTAGTGGTGCTGCCAAAGCACATACTTTTTTGCATTGTTTCCAAATGCTTCGCAACATAACCAGCTTATACTACTACATAAACCAGCAACAGTGTTTTCTAGCAGCAAATTATTTATCCACTCCGAGACTCGAACTCAGATCCTCAGAGTTAACATTCTGGCGCTAGTGTTAACCACAGACAGACAGTCAGACAAACAGACGGATGTTTTGGATCGATTGATTTTTCGGTATCACGAACCAACCAACATGGCTACACCACAAGTTAGAGGATATTCTTTCTAAATTTCGCAACAGGATTTATCCACTTTTTCATTGCCAGAATGCAGCAATAAGGTTTTCTCTGGAGAAATTTCAGCGTTTTCTGGCACATGATTACATAACATTCTCTTCTTATGAGGAATTCATAAGATGAGAAAGTAAAAACCTGTTTAGTACAAGAAAGCACAATTTATATAATTTCTCCCATACGTGTATGTACATACACACATGTACATCCATACATATATAAATTTATGTGGTTTACATCTTGCTACGTTTCTCGGTTCCTCTTTTCCAGCCTTCTCCATCCACTACATCTTCCTGTGTCAAAATTCTTGTTGCCATTGCAGTCAGTATCCTTTTTTTTCAAAGTTTCCATGAGGTTTAACGTCTGCCTCGTTAGTCTTCTGTACGGAGGTATCCATTTCTATACTTGTTTGGACCACCTCATTTCTGGCATTCTCAGCCAGATGTCCACACCACTGAAGCTGTTTTTGCTCTACAGTATCTATTATATCCTTTTGAATTTCTGTTTTGCCTTTTAATTCTTCGTTGCATATGTGGTGTAAATGAGATATTCTGCAACTTCGTCTTCAAAAAGTCTGTTTCAATCGTCAATAATCTTTTTGTTTTGTTTGGGTTAGTTCCCATACTTGAGCCATATGTGACAATTCTTTCTATTAAGGTACTGTATATATTATTCTTTGTTTTCTTTGATAACTGGGAGTTCTACAGAATTGGATTTGTTTCCCTTGATTTATCTTATTATTAAAATCATTATTACTTGTGCCCTCTTTTGAAACTGTGAAGGCCAAATATTTAAAATTATCACGTAATTGTATTTTATCATTTTCAATGTACAGATCATTTCCACATTCTCCTGTAACCATATACTTTGTTTTGGACACATTTATTTGCAATCCCCATATTTCAAATTCCTGTTTAACTTTTTTAAACATATAGTTAATATCCTGTTCATCCTTAGCCATGATGACAAGATCATCTGCGAAAAGTACAACATCCAGTGCTGATTCTCCAATTTGCATTCCCATTACACTGCATTTCCTTCTCCATTCTCTCAGAGCTTCGGCAATGAACATGTTAAAAAGAGTTGGGGACATGGAGCACTCCTACCTTAATTCTTGGGAATATATTATATCATCTGATTCTTGTCTGTTTACTTTCACAACACCTTTACTGTCTTTATACCTTTTCTTAATGGTGTTAACTAATTTAAAATTACATTTTTGTTCTAAAATTTTAAAAAGTCTTCTGATAGGAATGCTGTCAACAAACAGTAGATGAGAATCACTTCCACAGACTTTCCTCTTTTTTAAAATTTATTGGATACAGAACATATTATCTACAAATGAACAGCCAGCCATAAAACTGCTTTGTTCTTCCAGATTTTCTATCTGACTCAATTCTTCCTTTAATTATTCGCCCATACAGTCTACCAATTGAACTTGTGACACTAATGCCTCTATAGTTTTCATATATTTCTTTAATGCCTTTTTTATAAATCAGTATAATTTCTGCTTTTTTCCATTTTTGAGGATTTTTTTCTTGATCAATGAGACATTTATTAAATAGTTTTACAATAATTTCTTTTATTTTATTTGGAGAGTGTTTTAACAGTTGTACCAGTATCCCTCCTTGCCTGGGGATTATTATTTTTCATCCCTCTCAGAGCATTATTTAATTCTTTTAGAGTTATTTTTGGAATGTCAACCTGTATTTGAACATTATCTGCATTATAACTGATGTACTTGTATTCTGTTCTATCCTCCCTCAGAAGTTCTTGAAAATATGCTGCCCGCTATTTAATATTGACTGATGACATTCTGTATTTACACGACACATCTGTTTTCAATTAGTTTATTGATTTCCATGTCTCTCTAGATCTATTGCTTCCCATTAACCAATTTACTTTAGAGCATTTTGTTCCCCAAGCCTCTTGTTACTGCTCTTTGAACCCTCTTTTTTAATTGATATTACTATATGTTATTCTACCTTTAGGGTCTCCTGAGCTTAGCTATTTTTTTTATATTTCACTTTCTTCTCTTCAATCATTTGCTTCAAATCTCCATTCCACCAGTACATTTTTCTTTCTTTTGGGCTTCTCACCTAATACTTCAAACACTGCTTCATGGATTACTGTTTTTATTTGTTCACTTGCTGGCCGATCTACATTTATATGCAATTTATTTGCCAATCTAAATTTATATAGAAAACTAGTCATTTTGTAATCTATTGAACTGATCTATTTTGGGGTTACATGAAGCATTAGTTTTTGGTAGTTTTATCTTTTGGAAGTCAGGTTTGTGAAAAAATAAATAAGAGCTCTAACTAAACACTGGTTGCTACCACATTCTGCTTCTCTTAATACTCTTATGTCTTGGCATTTTGGATGAGTTCTGTGTCTTAATATCACATAATTAATTATTGACTTAATATTCCTGGTAGGTAGTGTTCATGTATAATTATGGATATCTTTGTGTCTATTGAACTCATTCATGATTTTTACATCCATCTGACTACATCAATTTATTAATCTCTCTCCATTTTTATTACATACTTGTTCTCCATAATTATCCACTATATTATTATTCTGTTTACATCCAGTTCGAGCATTTAAGTCACCCATTATTAGAATTTCCTTATTTGAAGGAATGCCTTCCAATATTGCCACTAATTCATCTTCAATACATTCATCTTTTGAACGTTCTCTTTCATCTTCAGTTGGAGCATAGGTTGATAAAATTACCATAGTATTATCAAATATATCTAACTCCACTGTTAGCTGTCTCTCACTGATTCCAGGTACTTATTTTTTTCTATATTTTTTGTGGACTGCTACTGATACTCCACATTTAGCCCTATTATCTCCACTATATATTTGGATATATTTTCTATAGTCTTCAATTCCTTTTCTTTTATTCTTAGTTTCCATTAATGAACAAATGTCAATATTTAATTTTTCCAACCGACTGAATACTTTTACATACTTTTTGCTAATACCCTGTACGTTTCATACAGTATGCTAATACCCTATACGAACTTGCCATTTGCATTGTTTGGTTTGGTTGCTTGTCTTCTCTGATTGGGTTTGTTTAAAGGCTGCCCAGAGTTTAACATGTTTATGATTTTTATGGGAATTGGGTGTTGGCCCATAGCCTAACGTCCAACTTGGCAGGCCAGGATTTGTTTGGGGTTTTCTCCCCAAGAGAGGTTGGCTCCTCACCTTTCTTAGTCCTCTCTACACATGTTTTGTTTCCCTTAGTCTTTGGGGGCATACAGAAATAGATAGAAAGAGAGGAGGAAGAAAGTGTAGAATAGAATAAGGAAATAAGAGGGGAGAAAATAATGACTCTCCAACCCTTGCAACCTAACAGCATCGGGGTAAAAAACACGAGACGAAGATTGGGCTAATAGGAAAGAATAAAGGAGTACGGCACTAAGGAAGAATAGCCATATCACCTTTATGGCTAGTTGCTATTGGTGAGGAAGAGGGAGGGACATGAGAACCAGACACAATGGACTTCGGATGAAGTACTGGTGGGTCATTGTGAGACAGCCCTTCTCCGCTGAGACATGTACAGCATGGATGCCCCTACCGGTAGCATCATTGATCAATTCTCAAACCCATCATCAATGCTACCCCCTGTATGTCCTCAGCTTCATAAGAGCACACAAATCACCTCACCTGCACGGTCTGTGCTACCTTCAGGCGGTGTCTCCTGGAAGAGGTCAACTTCATTTGCTTCCCATTAATTGACGATGAGTATTATTGCCTTGCAAGTTATATCAAATAATTATTTACCTTTCTTGATTTTTTTATTTACAAAAATAAATTTTATAAACATCTGAATTTTTTACATAATTCCATAAAAATAATTGGTAATGACTCCATCCACGAAATAGCAATGCATCTGCTACCAATGGCAATTGGTATTATGTCTGACATGAAACTTATTTCACATAAAAAATTAATTTTTTGACTGGTTCACTTTAAAATTTCAATTTGCGATTTTTTGAGATACATCAGTATTATTCTCATAAAGCTACAATAGTTTTTGAACATTGTTTTTGCTAATATGCCTCAGCTCTTCACACTCTACCAATTAAAACTATTACCACCAATTACCATTAAAACTTTTTCAGTATTCCAACTGAAAGTTAACTTGACTTCAGACAACAGCAATTGCTTTGAATATTGCAATGTGTTTTGTTTTGCACCCTCTCTATTTATTAGCATTTTAATTTTTAATTGAAGTAAGAAACAGTTCTTATATGTCAGACTAATGTGGGGGAATGAAAACTACTTAGAAATGTTAACATATAAGAGTGTTAAATGATAACAAGTATGATACACTAAATAATATTTTATTGATCAGACATTTTAATAACTTAAATTCAAGACTTATACAAAGATCTTATGGAACAACTGTTTATGCAAAATAATTACTTCATGAGAATGCACTCAATATTTATTAAAAGAAAGCAATCCTAAGTACATTCAGATCACTGCTGTATCTACAGTTGTATTATACAATCACAGAAAACTCTCCTTATCACACTGCTAATGACTAATACTGTTTACAACTTCTACTGTGAGTAAATACACAATACTGCACGGCTGCATCACATGATATCACATAGATTTCAGATCTGATAATGAGATTAATTGTTAAGAATATTTTGACGTCAAGAGTTTGAGCTTCACTATGAAAACATTCTACAATATTTCCTTAAGAAGATAATGTAAGCTCAAAAATGGAATACCGATACCAGCAAATTAAAAATATAAAATATATATTTCAGAATCAAAAATTATTTTTGCATTAATTATCAACAACTTTTACATTAAAATAACCATTGAATTGCATTCCTAACTATGTGAGCTAGTACAGAACTTTTCACCAGTCCAATAATATTGCAGCTGCTCTTCAAGATGTGACCTGCCAATCGGAGCCAAAGCCACAGGCCGTGTCAGAGTCGGAGTCGTGTGCTGTCCTTGTGTGGCTTGGGGGAGTGCTGGGGGTACTGTGACTGCCACTGTAGTCTTGCCCACCTCGACGAGAACCCCTTTTTTTGATTGGGGCTACTTTGGGAGGTGGCATAATTCGCCTGTCCACCTGGATACAAAATATTTTAACATTAACAATTGTAAGTCTCAAATTCTGTACATCAATCAAATTTCACCTACAACTGCACAATTACTTTTATTTTATTTTTAAATAGACAATTACAATAATTTACAAACATTTAGGGTGTTTTCATGTACCTTTCTTCTTTTTACAATACATTTAGAGTTTTTTTGTGATATTAGCCCCTTTAATTTCTGCATAAATATATTTTGCCATGCTCTAAAATTTTTTGTGTAAATGTTTATTAAATAGTATTTGCTTGCACTTACGAACGCACATTGGTTTCTTTTGAAATATCAACTAGATTCTTAAATGGTTAGGATGAATGAATCCATCATGAATTGGTGGCTTTTGCTATTGCTACAAGCTATTTTTTTATGCCTATTTAGTCAGCAGATGTGTGCTGATTTATACAGGCAAGATAGACGCTATTTGTTGAAGTAGAAAGTGAGGGAGAACATTTTGCAGTTTTATAAGTTTTCTGATGGTTCTACATGATGCTAGTTTTAAATATTTCTTAAGGAGTGTGTGTTTGGGGAAGGTATGCAGTTATGTTTAGGATTTCTTTTCAGTTTGTAGGATATGATAATGGAATGGTAATGATCTAAACCGTAAATTGCAGACATAGTTCTGGTCTGTAGACCAGGTACTTCCCAAACTATAGCCTGTGGGCTTGATCTGCTCCCATTGAGGTTTCATTCAGCCCATGTAGCTTCCAGAAAAGACTATCCTGGGCTAGGCAGTGGAAAATTCATGGACAGTGATGCCAAAAAACACTGATTAGGGGTAAAAAGATGGCTGAAGGAATTGACTGACGCATTCACTTACATACTAAGTTATGATATACATATGGATAACTAAAATCCAGAGCAAATTTGGACATCTTTGATGATAACCATCTTCTATTATTTGAAGATTCTGTGATGAAATGCATTTTGACAGGTTCTGAGAATCATCCACGAATAAATGCAGTTTCATTTATTACCAGACACAAAATGACAGAATTTTTTCCATTTGTAAAAAACATGGACACAAAACATGTAAGGGTATTACTCTAGGATAGGAAATTATCTCAAGGGTACCTCAAAGGGATACAAGTTATATTTTTTGTATTGTAATCTACAAAATGAGACATTTTGGACAATCTATTATATTTTTTACGGTTCTGTTACTTCGAGGCAGAAATGCTTCAAATTGGGTTCCAGTATTTTCACTTTGGGTTAAAAAGTTCTGCTTTTGGCAGATTGCAATTATTTGTGAAAAATCTTTGGGGTCATTCAGTTCTGGCAACTCTAGTGATTCAGAACTTCCCTTTTCAAATAGCAAGGATGGCACTGCACTGTACACCACCACAATGTTTATAGAAGTACTTTGTAATAAAAATTAACAGGACTTGAAATTTTTAATTTCTAGATTAATAAGTGTGTGGAATGTGAGAAAGATTTGGGGGAATATTTGAGGGAACACTGGTGAGTACATTTGGGAGAAAATGTCAAAGAATATTTGGGGAAACATGTAATGTAAATGTGAGGAAACATGTAGGAGATCATATAGGAAACTTGTGGAGGTACATAGGTGGATTCCACAGGCAACTTCTGGTGAACATGTGATAAACAAGTAAGGGAACATGTGAATGATGTTGGCTGTCCAGGTGACTGACGAAGACTGTGTTGCCGACCATCTTATCATGGTCTTCCTCAGGGCTTGGTCTGCGATGCATGTAAGGGAACATGTGAGGAAACATGTAGGGGTCAGGAGGAGCAAAGAACTGAGTGAATATTTTTGCTCTTCTGGTGACCTCTACTCTGTAGTAGGGTAGTCAGAAAGGGGCAGAAACTACAAATCTATTTAAAATTAAATTGACATGTTAATAGGACCATCATGATTGGCCAACTGTACAGATTTGGATATGGCCTGAAGTTGGAATCCAGTATTAGGTTATTTTCACTTTCAAAACTATGACTTATAAAGGACAGAATGATTCCATGGGTCCAGATAGTAATTTGTCTTTTAGAAACCTGTATTAAATTGTGCAAAACCTTTCTAAGTCTCATCAAATAGAAACTAGATTTCATTTTAAAAATTCTAAAGCAGTAAATTAGCTGAATTTCCTCTTTAATGAATACAAAATTTGGACATATGTGTCTTTTCTAAATAATTTTTATTCACTTTATGTCAAACTTAACAAAACTGAGAAGTGTTGTAATAATCAATAGCCCTTTATTAACAATCATGATCAAATTAATAACATAAGTAATATTAGGATTAATTTGCAGGATAAACAGTCAAATTGAAGTGGAAATTAAGTGACTGTATTTACTTGATTATAAGCTGACACTGATTGTAAGCCAACCCCAAGAAATAATGAACAAAAAAAAAAGAGGGGAAATTTATTTAAATGTAAGAAATACATTTGATGCTTAACGGACTCACAGCATCAAGGGCATCCAGGCATCATCTATCCAAGCGCACACTTGCAATAGACCAACCTGTTTCACACGTCCTGTGGGTGTGAGCATAGTCTTCTTTGGAGAGCCACTAAGTACATTTTCTTAAACCTGCCCTTGAATTGTTGATGCACCCATCCAGGAGTTGAAGTATTGATATCAGTCCCCTTGGAAAAATTGCCAATTTGGTTGCCTGATCTTTCAACTCCTTCACCATCTCAGTAGTGTGAGTCGCCTAAGAGTCCAAAACTGGGAGGCTACGTAACCTCAACAAAGCGCCAGGGCGACAATGCCATACCAACTGAACCCATTGTAACATTGTCTTTGGTAGAGCACCCATTGTGCGTGCAATAACGCTCTTAAGAAATGACTCTTATTTTGGGAGTGTCTTGCATATAAACACAAAAGACGGAGGTAGTTTATGTATGTTCTAACGTGTCAGCTGCATAGCAAAAAATAGATGTATTTACGGATGTCTGGACAACTACATTATAGCAACACAGTGACACTGATTGTAAGCCCAGGGACGATTTTTGAATTACAATGAAGGGAAAAAGGTTGACTTACAATCGGGTATATATGGTAATTAAAATTGTTTACAAAGTGGATAAAATGTTGAATGATATTGTAACATCTTAATGCAATAGTCTATAGGTTATTAAACTCAATCCAAGGTAATTCCTCAATTTCGTATTGTAATAAGATGTCTTATGATATGCGTCATATAGAACTTATTATTACATCCTATGATTATGGTTTTTAATTACTTTAATTTGCTGTTGTTAGTGTATTGACCAATCATTTTGCAATGCTACAATTTTCAGGTTTAGTAATATGCTTTATTTTAAAAGATATAAGCAATTTGTGATTGTTGTTAAAATTATATTTTTAATGAATTAGTTACTTACCTCCACTCTATGCCTGTGCAGGCATGGGATGATAACAGAGTTAATTGTATTAAGAAAAATACAGGAGTTAATTTCATACAGAAAAAATAACTTTGATCATTAACATCTTGATGATTTGAAATACCTGTTGGATATTATCAGCAGACCCCCAACTCTTGTGCAATTTCTCACTGTTCGTTGTGCCCACTCCTAGAAAATTGCTGAATGCCTCCGTTGTCCTCTTCACTCTCATATTCAACGAACCAATGCGTAGAAACCCCAGTTCTTTCTCTGCAAGACATACAAATAACAAAAATTATGAAGAGCACTCAAGAAAAAATGATTAGCATCTGTATTAAATACAGAATAAGAATCATCTGCTCCTTCAAGTGTGAATAAAGTCAAATGTGTAATATTTTATTAAGTGCATTCCAAAGAATTTACTCACAAAAAAATTAACAGGTGCCATTAACATAGCTACAAGAAAAATCAATTGTTAAATACAATTACATTTGTTTGTACAGAATAATAACAAATTAAGAATGGATTCGATATTTCGAATAGTTGATTGTCATTCCTGATATCTCATTCTAGAATTTCACCAAAATGGTACTTACATAAATTAGTTACAGACTTCTACCAGGAAAAACAACAATTAATTGTTTTTGAAAAAAGAATTACAGTTGACTCCGGTTATAGTGAACTTCTGGGGACTAACATTCTTGGTGCACTATATCTGATAAACTCAAAATTAAATAGAATTTGTCCACACTGATTGCTTGCGCTTAGTCCCAGGGAATATAACACCAGGCTATGGAACGTAACACCAACCTTGGAACTGAAGCAAACAATCACGTGTTGTCACTGCCAGTTGTAGCCCACGCAGGGCACTGGCTTTGTTTCCACAGTGAAACTGAGTGGCATAAGGTCATCTGTAGGTCTCCATTTCAGTTCCGCTATCTTCATCTTCAGGGGAGACTTCTTCGATAATGTCTATAATATTGGGCCTATAATATTTTTCCAAGATGCTTGGTGTTGGAATTTGTGGCAATGAGGCAATATATCCTTTTGCAGGAGGGAATTAACTTCCAGGACATTGAATTTCCTACAACCACTATAGCCAAGGTTCAGGTTCTCTATAACTGAATTTTCTTATCTTTATTTCTAATGTAAGTGAAATGGGACCAGTGACAAGTTCACTATAACTGATGGTTCATTATATCCTAGTTCACTGTTATCGGTGTCAACTGTATTATTTTTTCAAGAAACAAGTATTTAAAAATATCAAAAGTATTACTGGATTTTGATGAATGAAAGATGTAAACCCGTATACACACCTGATTGTTTCTTCCTTGCTTTTATTTCTGAAACAGAAATAATTAATTTTTAACTAATAATTTTGAAGTGATATTTCTCAAAGTTTAAAATTCAAAAAATACCAAATGAAATTTAAATTAAAATAATTTAATTATAAAATGGCATGCAAAGGCAAAAAAGTATGAAGCATTACATTCCTAAAATATTGTTCAAACTCCAAATTATAAGAACCATGAAACAATTTTTGCAGTCAGTATGCATATACAATTTTTCAAGAGGATACCAAACCATTCACCTTTCCACATGCAAAAATGTGAGTTTCAACAGTAATATTTAGTACCAATTAGAATAGAAACAAGACTTGCTGTTCAGAAAATAGTAAATTTACATAAAATTTTAAGTAAATTAAAAAATACTGTAAATACCAACACCTGAGTACAAGGATATATACTCTACAGGATGAATAACAGTGTAATTTCAAAATTTATATCTTTCTACATCACTAAATTTTCTACTACTTTTATTTTGCTGATAGTTTCCCTAGTAGTGTATCACACATTTTCACTGCTGCTTTGGAATCTGAAGAGTGTGCAAAAAATTAGCCATTCTGTTCAGCTTAATTGAGGCTCACCAGTTTCCAAATATTAAGAAGGAAAACACAGCACTTCAACACATTGGAAGCCTACACCACTTCTGGATATTTGCACTGACATTTTCTAATTATTAAAATATATGAAACAAATCTCCAAATCAATACTGCATACTCACGGAACAAAGGTTAATCAATTGCAATCACTACAGCAATTTATCAGGAACTGTTAATGGAATGAAAAACATTATTTAATGACATTCAAATAACAACTAGAAGGCTCATTTGTACTATTTGTTTGTTACAATTTAAATGTGTGGACAAAATGATTTATTATTTCAAGAAAAAAATTGTTAACGTATTAAGTGCTTCATTATTTATATTTTTGTCGTAAATAATTACCGAATACACAAAATTGAAAAAAAGATTTTTGAAATTCTTTCAATTTGCCCACACTCAAACAAAATGCAACAGGCAAAATAGGAAATTAGTGGGTCTGTAAGTAACAGAGGAGAAGAAGCCTCATAACATATCTTACAAGACCATGTTGCAAGAGTTATTTACTTGCCTTGTTGCACTGTCTGCATCAGCCCCTACAAACAACAAAGAGCAAGTGGTAAATAGAACTCACATTGTGAGCTATTCACTTTACAGAACTATAATTCAAATTTTCCACTTAAATATTTTTTATTTGGATTCATTTTCTTGTCTTTTATTTAAATGTGAAGAAGGCCGTTCCTTAATTGTAAGTCAACTATTTAACCATATCCTCATTCTTTGAAACATAAAGGAAGTAAAACAACCCTTCTGTTGTCATAATCAAATCTTATAATTTAGAAAATTTTGTCAATCTTGAAAATAACCTACATCACCACAAAGAGTTGGAGAGCATCAGTTTTACATAATGTGTCTTTCCATTTCAGAGGCATCTTATAATACAAATCTGGTAGTTTTATTGTGTTGAAGTAAACAAACAAACATTGATATTTTCGAGCTGATGGGCCGTGAACCAGTCAAATTACTCATGCTTGTTACTGAGCATCTATTTTACTGATTGTCAATTGGGATCATACATACATATGGAACGCTAAAGAAGGGGGAAGGGGGTTTGAGACAGTGTTACATAGGGGAAGGAGGGGTATTAGCTTATTGTTATGTAACATTGATATTTTCAATTTTTCAACATTTACTGAAATAGTTCATTTTTTAGTCTTATACTAAAACATTAAAATACTAACTAATTAACATGTTAAAAACATACATAAACTTAAGTTACTACTTTATAATTAAAATTGTTACAAAAATGGAATTATTTTTTCATCAATTTTTTATTGAATCTAAGATTACGAAGAAAATATTCAAAACTGTGTAGTACACTCTACAATCCACTTAAATTGGCACAGTACTCATGCCTGCGGATCATCCATGACGGTATGTGCATGGCTTGTGATAAATAATATTCTTGCATATGCGTCATTCCTTCACTCAGAACTTGCTCCCAACCATAAGGTTGGAAGCAGTCAGCATTGCCATTAACTTTAATTATCATAAATTTTAATACACAACAAAACAAAAATGAATACAAATTATTTTCATTTCTTGCATTTACAAGGAGGTTTGTTGTAAGAGTTTCATAATTATTTAGGAACGAGAGTGGCGAGTCAATATTTTTTCATCAATTATTATCAATCAGCTATTATGTGTGTGTTTACAGGTGGGAGAGGTGCTATTCAAAATACTCCAAATTTGCGTAACGAATTTTTATGGACAGCCTTTCTGAATCCCTGGAGGGTACTTTGACCTCACCCCACCATCAAAGAGGATGTCTGCTGTAGGTGCAGACAAAATGTCTGTAAGAAATATGAGTAATTCAACTGGTCTACAGCCTTTAAGCCCAGTAAATGATATCTACATTGATGCAAGTGGTCAGAGCTAATATTGTTTTTATAAACAAAGTTCATCTTCAATTTTGCCAACCTGGACAGCTTTTCAAAATGCTGGGTTTTTCTCAGCAGTTGACAAGATTCAAAATGACAACAGATGCCTTTCTTCTTTCTGCATTTTTTCTAGTGTTGCCAACTTTTTTATACTTTACTTCATCACAGTTATACTTGCCATGAGCTGCTGAATAAACCATCCAGTTCAAAACCACTCGTGGAGAAATCCCATTACTTCGGCTTGAGGGGTAGCTTACATGGTCTCAAAGTTGAGCAATGTCCTGCTCATGGGTGAATTGAACACTGGACAATACTAAGAGTTAGGAAGTTTGAAGCCAGAAAATTTAGTACACAATATAAAATACTATGGTGATCAAGAAATGCACTCTGCTGCAGTTACTACTGAGAAAATAGTATGAAAAAGTGAGATATTCTTAAAAAATCTTGTGAAGGGAAGAAATTACAAATAAAAGAAATGCACTAGGATGATTTTTCCCTTCTATGTGTTACATGTTACTTTACTTATGTATCTACATTTGTATTGTATGACATAGTCATCAGAATTACAATGTTTATTGATTGCTAAAATTACACCAAAAGCAAAAGCTTTTTGAAGAAATTTTGAAAGAAAAGATTTTTACACAACCCTTAATGATAAACAAACCATCAAAATTTCAAGGGTCTTTTATGAACTTGATATATCAGTAACACAAACTGCCTATAATTTGATTTTTTGCTTAGAGAGAGATAGACACTTCATATTTATTATTAGGATATTAACAAATTTTTAAAATAGTTCAATGATGAGGAAATAAAAATAAACAAGAATTAAAAAAGCTTATAGAGAAGAAATGTTTGTAAATCTAGCAGTAGTTTCTGTAAGTTACAAAGACATTATTACATTTGAGAACAGCGGTGGGCAGTCTTCTCTTCCCTCCGTTGGTAGGAATAATTAAGATCTTGAATGGTATTTCCAAAGGAAGATAGCATTCACTTCATAAAATAATATGTTATGAATGATGACAAGTTAGTAAGAATATTAAAATTCTTTATTGTATTTTGAGATCGATCACTTATATATCACAGACATTTTTGATTTTTTTCTGTCTATACATTATATTTCAAAACAAAATTATATTGAACGTAATGTACAATTTTGTTCTGTTGAAGCAAAACCATACGCTACAATACTTTTCTTAATGTCTATAGAGGCAGTACTGTATGTTGGACATATTCTTAAAATGCAATGCCAAGATTTAATAAAAATACAATGTTAAAGACAGGTAAAGAAGAAAGAAAAATGGAAAGGACAAGAGAAGCAAAATATCAAATGAGATTAAAATTTTGTCAAATGCACATTTTGCTACATTACAATATGAAAGTACAGAATAAAATACATGAAATATTAATAACATACACCACAGAAAAATCAATGCCTACATGTCTACCATTCGAGGCAAAATTTCATTCAATACATGCACAACACAATTTTTAATCAAATTGCATTTTTAGTGATAAAGGAACATTTTCAAGCACAAAAGTATGTGAAAACAAAAAAATCTATAAAGATTAACTAACAACAATAAACAAAGAAAATACATTAGATGGATTACATTTCTGTACAGATAATGCATTTAAGTAAGGCACAACCAAACTTACAGTCTTCTGTTTAAAATTATAGCAGTAGAATTCATAATTATAATACTGGAGTAATGTAACAATAGTGTTACAATTTTACTGAAACTGTGTAATTAATGATACTACCGTGGTACCGTGGTTATTCAAAACTAACAAGGAAAAAATGGTCCTTTTAATACAAAAATATATTTCACATAAATTTGATAATTTAAGACCATCAACTGAAGTTACAATATACACAAAGGAAACATGTTCTTCCTTATACAATTCAATGTAAATCCAATATTCAAAAAAGTAAATTTAATTGCAAAAAAATGTCTGAACAAAGATTCATTGCTAATTGTGAATAAGACCATTTACTTTTGGAGGAATGATCTCTTCCTGGCCTTCCTTTTCTTATTTAATTATTATATTTCTTTTAAAAATATTGTAACATTAACAACTTCTTTGGTTTATGGAGGTTTTCTACAACTAACCATTAAAATTACTACAGAACCACAAACATATCATAATTTCGTGGCATATTCAATGCACTTAATCATATTCCACTTTAATGAAGTTGAGATACAGAAATTCTGTAATTATATTTTTGTTGTAGCACACAAGTCAAACTATATTGTCAGAATACACATGAAACGCACTAAGGCCAAAACCTGCATTTTGACATAAAACAAGTTGAAGATTATGATAATTTTTTCACTTTACTATCTTTCACTAGTTAGTAGATAAAACCTGAGTTATTTTTAACACACATTTTAATATGCAAGATTGTTTTTAAGAAACAAACAAACAAGAAAAAGCAACAGGTTCAAGCATGGTTTTTACTTGTAGATTTCCAGTGTTCTGTGACTTAGTAAAAAAAAAAACTCATCAAAAGTTTAGAAAATATGTGACTTAGCGATGATCATAACACAAAAATGAAAAATTGAACTTCTTGAGTTTCATTTGTATATAATAATATATACTGACAAGATTATATTGTGTCTTGGGCTGATAAAATAATCAAAAATAAGTGTAATGTTTTCCTCTCATGCAAAAACACTAATTTAATTTTAATGTATAATTAAGTACCTAATGTTTTTAAAAGGATAATAAAGTTTGATAATGATCATAACACCACAATGCCCATGCACTTATTATGTATATTAAACCAAGCATGCACAGTTTTGGGAGTGTTATGATTACTTCCCTTCACCAAAAACTCAATAATACTAAGATTACATTGCAAAATTACAAGCAATCTTTTTAAGTAGTTACAGTGTTTTCATTAAGAACTACCTAACTGCTGGAAACTCAATTGCTTAAAGTCCTTCATGACTATAAAGTTTCTGAATAAAAATGTAGAATCACTTGTTCTTTAAAATGCTACTTTTCTAAGCCTATAAAATACGCAGGGATGGTTTTTCAACAATTCAGCGTTTACATAGTAAAGTCCATAATTCGGATACATTATTTTCGAAATACACATTCCAAAATAAATTAATATTTGTCATGTGTATTTCTAATAGACCTAATAAAATGTTTGTTTAACAATAATTTGCAAAGGGGTAAAAAAATATTTATAGATATTGTTTGTCCGTTCTTGTAGAAGTTTACAGAAATTTCAATAAGTCTACATTAATTTACATTTACATACAATCTCAACAGAGATGGTAATATTAAATTATGCTTTTTTATTATAATAAGCTTAAAATCAATTAACCATTCCTTTTTTAATAGCAAAAAAATGTTGGTTATCACTAAACCATTTCCATAAAATCTTTAATACAAAAATATTGCTTTTTAGAAAATATGTCTTTCAAACATACTTACTACTACTTCAACAGTAATGAAGTGTGGTTCTTCATTTAATATAGTTCGCACATATTTTCTCTTAGTGACAATGCAATTGAGGCAAAATGTAACTAATCGCAATGAACCATACCCAATGGTAACATTTCTCTATAATTTATTAGCATTACATTTTTCAAGAACATTTGCTTTCTATCCCTACGAATTTATTATGTGCATCCATTAGTGAAGCATATTGAGAAATAAACCTAAGTTCATTGAACAATTAAAAGTAGCGTACTTATGATTCTGATCTTTTAACATCTGCCACTTTATGTGTATACCAATTCAAAAGTAAGAGACTGCAATTGAGACTCCCAGCAATTCATTTTTCCAAGGGCCATCATCATGCAGATATGCAAATGCTGCTCAAGGCCTGACACTCCGCCTAAGGAAGCTTTTCCTTCCCAGGTAAGCTCCCACTAGAGGGGAGTCTGGAAGCCTCTCTGAGGAGGTGGAGGCGGATGCAGATGCGGAGGCAGAGGCAGCCATGCTGGAAGCTCTGGGACGGTACTCACTTCGGAAGGTGTCTGCAGACACAGCAGTATCCTGGTTTGCTAAATACTGCCTTGGTTTCCTGCCGCTCCAGTCACGTAAGTTAGGATCAGCACCTGTTTGCATTAGTACACAGACGCCATCAAGAAAATGGTATTTTGAACTTAAATCTACTCTGCATTCTTTTACCAGTGAATTTTTCCAAACAGGATGTTGGGAACCAAGGACAGAAATCTTGATTTTCATGGTCAATTATGAAATCATGAATGCTTTAGATAATTATAAGGGATAATAATTATGTAGGTGCTTGTAGTTTGCCTTTTAAGCCACAATCACAAATTAAAAACATTATGTCTTTGTGAGGTCTGAATTCACATAACTAGTACATAGCAGTTGCTGTCACAGCTGCCTGCACTATTTAGGTTGTCTATTCTCCTTCAGGAAGTATATGATTAAACTATCATGATCTTCAAATTTCATAGAATGAGGCATACACATAATGTTAATGAGGATCAAACACCCAATGTGTGTAAGGAAAAAACACTGATGAAGGATGATGATTTGGTAGCGGATTTCTATGACTTTGCATATTTTTGACTGTTGCTTCTAGGCATAGCTAAGTGAAATTTCTTGACATTTGGTTAGAATTGGATGCTATGTAGATTAATATTTTAGTGCATATTTGTACGATTTTTCCTGATGGTGCATTTGTATTAGGGCATATTTTGTTAAAACACAGACTTCTTTCAAGAAAGTTTCAACTTTTCATATGATCTATTTATTTGTGAGTATCCTTAGATTAAAAAGAGCTTGTTACAGTTCGTGGTTTTTTCTTTTCTATAGATGACCAAATACTTAGGCAAATCTAGGCAATTTCTAGATATTTTTTTTAAACCAGGCAGAAGAAACGCAACAAGAGATGCAATATACTTCATTATGGTGAAGTATACTACTTTAATTATTTCTCTTGCTAAGTAAGGTAGATTATATTGTGTTTAGACAAAAATATATCTTTTTCATTCCAAGCATGAATTTTATCAAGGAAGGCACAGGAAACACAGGAAATTAAATATTGTTAATTTTAATTACATATCAATGAGCATATTGGAGAATATTTAGGTCATAAAAGCATTTTTCAATATTTTTAAGGCATAAAATTCCTCTCTCTAATGATGATATTTCATGGAATACAATGTTATTTTCAATTCATACTATTATGTTTGAAAAAGTTGCAATTCATTAATTTAGTATCAAATGCAATTAATCAAAAAGTTTGGTCATTTGAAATCTGAAGAATTCACTTCTAACGCTCTCACCAGAGACATTATGTACTGGAACAAAGCAAGATTGAGGTAAGTGTACATGATGAGTAAATCTGATACATTCCCCTTCCATGGCTCTTAGAGGTTGCCACATTGTATTTGTACATTACATTTATAAAATTTGTTAACTCACTGTATATGTTGCATTACCATAATTTATGATCTAATTTATGATTTATAATCATTCTCTTTGTAAATACAGGAACTGTTCATTTCACAAGTGTTATGAGATTTGACAAGCTGGCTTTAAAAATAGTGACATTGGAATCTCATATATGAAACAATAATTTAAATACTTACCATAGGCTTCCACAAGCAAACTGAAGATATTTTCATGGTTGAATTGCATTGCTATGTGAGCAGGAGTGTAACCCTGCAAGAAAACAACACTGCTCAAAAATTCTGATACACTAGAAGTTTGGGGAAGAACACGAAGAGGAAAAAAGCAGACAAAAATCAGATTCAGATGAAGTTTTTACCCCTCTAAGCATTCAACATTTTTTTGCTGACTCAACTTTTCCTTGTGCCATTTTAACAACACTACATCATCTTATACAGCATGACTTCACTCTCTGTGGCGGGTGGGGGAGGGACGTCAGGGAGTTGCAGTTAACGTCTTCCCTGCGGTATTCTTTCACACGTGTCGTTCCCCTTCGAAATGAAAAAAAAGAAA